TGGAATTAATTGAATTAATTGAATTAATTCCAATTAATTTAATTAATTCAATTAATTCAATTAATTCAATTAATTCAATTAATTCAATTAATTCATTTATTTCCAAAGGGGGGGTTCAATTAATTCAATTAATTCAACTAATTCAATAATTCCACCCCCCCCCTTTGGAAATAAATGAATTAATTGAATTAATTCATTAAATTCATTAAATTCCAGGGGGAAAGTGGAAATTAAGGAATTTAATGAATTAAATTCTGTCTGTGCAACCCTACAGGACCTAAAATAGGGTCTATTTGGAACATGGCTCTTGTGAATAAGTATACGTTTTGGGGCCTGTTTTCCTCTTGTAAATACGATTCCCAGCTTCCAAATAGACCCTATTTAAGCTGCACACCCCCCCCCCCCCCACCCCCCCCAAAAACAAAAAAAGGCCGGGTTTTAGGGTTTCGACGGAAGACACCTAGGGCTTCAGGGTTTGGGATTGAAGCGCGCTTCGGGAATTCGGGGATTCAAAGGCGGGCGTGCCTGCATGTACTTGGTGGTCTGAGACAGAAGGGCGCTCGCCAAGATCGCAAAGGGGAACTTGGCAAGCGCCTTCAGCCACCTGGTTTAGGGTTTAGGGTTTAGGGTTTAGGGTTTAGGGTTTCGGGTTTAGGGTTTAGGGTTTAGGGTTTAGGGTTTAGGGTTTAGGGTTTAGGGTAAGCCGACACCCACGTTGAAGTTTCACAAGTACATGTGCTCTAAGGTGTATGGCTGGGATGTTCCCCCTTATGTACTAACAGACCGTAGTAGGGATTATAATAGGGGGTACTATACTCCCTGCTAAGGGCTGTTGGTAGAGACGGGGAGCATCCCCAAGGTTTAGGGTTTAGGGGCAAGCCTCATGAAGGTACACAACAGCACTTCTGACTGGCCATGGGCTTCAAGCAAGGCGTTTGAGGCTTGAGAGTTTCCAGGGAAGAGATAAAGGCCCCCCCCCCCGAAAAGGGAACCGAATAGAACAAGAATAGGGGTCTCGGATTTAGGGTCTACAAGAGCCTCCTAAACACTAGCCCCTAAACTGAACCTTGAGAATCGTCATCGTCACTCTCGCGCCTGAAGCCAAAAGGGGTGCTAGGAACACCCACCCCCTCTTAAACCCTAAACCCCTGTCTACCTGAGTAGCTCAAAACAGCCCCTGTCTACCTAAACCTACATCCCCAAAAAACGCGAAGCCCATTGAGGATTGGGGGGGGCTTGGGGGAGAGACTCGGAGAGGCCCACGCCTGCGCCAATGCCCCAGGTTTTGGCCAATGACGAATTCGCGCATGAGCCAGGCCTCTGCTCTTAGGGACTTATAGGGACTTATAGGGACTTACAGGGACTTATAGGGACTTATAGGGACTTATAGGGATTTATAGGGACTTATAGGGACTTCTAGGGACTTGTAGGGACTTGTAGGGACTTCTAGGGACTTATAGGGACTTCTAGGGACTTATAGGGACTTATAGGAACTTATAGGGACTTATAGGGACTTCTAGGTACGTAGGGACTTAGGGACTTCGGGACTTCTTGGGATTCCCACAAACCCAAAGCCCTAAATCCCAGGGCTTGAAAGAGGGAGCCCCTAGAAACCCCAACTCTGAAGAACTTGCTAGGGTTTAGGGTTTAGGGTTTAGGGTTTAGGGTTTAGGGTTTAGGGTTTAGGGTTTAGGGTTTAGGGTTTAGGGTTTAGGGTTTCGGGTTTAGGGTTTAGGGTTTAGGGTTTAGGGTTTAGGGTTTAGGGTTTAGGGTTTAGGGCCCCCTCCCAACACCCTCAGAACCCTCAACTTCCGGGTTGTGGGCTTCGGGGTTCCAAAACGTAGAACCCCCAAATGATGCCCTGCTACTACTATTGAGTCATTCTTAGGAACCCTTAAGGGGATCGGTTCAGGGTTTAGGGTTTAGGGTTTAGGGTTTAGGGTTTGGGGTTTGGGGTTTGGGGTTTAGGGTTTAGGGTTTAGGGTTTCGGGTTTAGGGTTTCGGGTTTAGGGTTTAGGGTTTAGGGTTTAGGGTTTAGGGTTTAGGGTTACTACCCTGGGCCCCCCAAGTAAGCCCTCGAACCGCAAACCGAAACCCCAAACACAGATCCCCAAACGACCCTAAGCCCCTAACCCCAAAACCCAAACTCAACCCCCCCCCCCCAACCCTCAACAGAAGCCCCGAACTTAAAGCCCTAAACCCAAACCCTTAGAACCCCAAAGCCCCAAGAAAGCTGACCCCCAAACCCCAAACACTTCGCGCACAAGCCCTAAATCCCGAACCCCAAACCCCACACCCCAGGCCCCCAATGAACCTCAGAAACCCCCAAAGCCCCAAATCCTAAACCGCAGACCCAACACCACAAACCCTTAACCCAAACCAGTAACTCTAAACCCTCAACCACGGAACCAAACCCCAGACCCAACACCACAACACCCAAATCCCCTGAAACCCCAAAGCCCGAAGCCCCAAGCCAACCCAACCCCTTAACCTTGTTACACCCCAAAGCCTCTAAACCTCAAAACCCCTGAACCCCCAAAACCCCAAACCCCAAAACCCCCTTAGACCCCTGAACCCCAACAATCCCAAAAACCCTGAACCCCAAAACCCCTGAACCGCCAAAACCCGTAAACCCCAAAATCCCCCAAAACCCCTAAACCCCTGAACCCAAAAAAACCCGAAAACCCCAAAACCCCTGAACCCCAAACGCCCTTAACCCAAACCCCAAAACCCCTGAACCCCCAAAACCCCTAAACCCCCAAACCCCTGAGCCCCAAAGCTCCAAAGCCCCCAAACCCCAAAAGCCCTAAAACCCCCTGAACCCCCTGAACCCCCCCAAAAAAAACCCTGAACCCCTGAACCTCAAAACCGCACAAACCCTAAACCCCGAAACCGCCTGAACCCCAAAAGCCCAGAACCCCAAAACCCCCCAAAACCCTAAACCCTAAACCCTAAACCCCCAAACCCCAAACCCCAAACCCTAAACCCTAAACCCTAAACCCCCCCCCCCCCCCCAAACAGCCCCAAAACAGAACAAAAGCCCCCGGGCCGCCTTGTAGAGCATGAGCCATGCAACCCTTAACCCGAAACCCTAAACCCGAAACCCTAAACCCCAAACCCTAAACCCTAAACCCCCAAAAGAAGCAAGCCGCCTTGTAGAGCATGAGCCAGGCGTTGAGCCCGGAGGCCACCACCAGCGTGGAGATCTCGGGGCCTGGTCTTCGGGGGGAGGGGTTTAGGGGGTTTGGGGGTTTAGGGTTTAGGGTTTAGGGTTTGGGGTTTAGGGTTTAGGGTTTAGGGTTTAGGGTTTGGGGTTTGGGGTTTGGGGTTTGGGGTTTGGGGTTTGGGGTTTGGGGTTTGGGGTTTGGGGTTTAGGGTTTAGGGTTTGGGGCTTAATTAGGGTTTGGGGTAGGGTTTGGGGTTTGGGGTTTAGGTTTTGGGGTTTGGGGCTTGGGGTTTAGGGTTTGTGAATCACGTCCTCAATCCCTAAATCCCAAGCCATTTGAGATGGTTTAGCCTTGGGTCGTGGGGTTTAAAGGTCTGGGGGTTTAGGGGTTTAGAGGTTTGTGGAGTGTTTAGGGCTTAGGGTTTTGAAGGACCGACATCCCGGAGCCTCTTCAAACGAACCCTTTTTTTCCCCCTAAGCCCTACAATGCGTAAGTTACCTTAAACCCAAAACCGCAAACCACACAAAACCCATCAAACCCTACAAACCCCTCCTACCCCTAAACCCTAAACCCCTAAGCCCCCCCGCCCCTGCCCCCCTCTCCCTAAACCCTAAACCTTAAACCCTAAACCCTAAACCACAATCCCTAAACCCTAAACCCTAAACCCTAAACCCTGAACCCTAAACCCTAAACCCTAAACCCTAAACCCTACCCCCGGCGCGCCGGCGGAGAAGAAGCCCCCTGCGCGGGGGCGGAGGAGTTCGACAAAGCGTGGCCGCTGGCGTGGGACGGCGGCACCCGGAGCAGGCCTTGGTTTGGGGTTTAGGGTTTAGGGTTTAGGGTTTCGGGATTAGGGTTTAGGGTTTAGGGTTTAGGGTTTAGGGTTAAGTTCATGGGTAGTTCAGACCGGGGGCTGTAAGTAGAGGAACTGTACATATGATAGGTTATAACCCCTATCTCAAGCCCAAACTCTGACCGTACTGGCTCACCGCGTCCGGAGTATCCATGAACCTTCGAGTAGGGATCCAGGTTTAGGGTTTTGAGAGGTTTTTGTTTCAAGCTTTGCGTTTCAAGGTTCAGGATATGTGGTTCAGGATCTGAGGTTGAGTGGGTAACTGTCTAAGATTTAGGGCTAAGGGCTTAGGGTAGCCCAGCATCTCAGCACCAGACACAGACGCAGGCAACGCTTTGGCGAACGGCTGCTGCTGTTGCCTTGCGGTTCAGGGCTTAAGGTTTGGGCGGTTGTGGGCGCACGGAGACAAGGGGATTCCCAGCCTGCTGTGGTTGGGAGCTTGCGGCTTAGGGCTTCCGGGTCTGGATCTGGGGCTTAAGCTTGGAATAATGAACCTGCCTCCCTACACCCGCACCCCCTCGAAACGCTCGCACGAGCTGTAGGCACAATAGCCCCAAGCGGAACATTTGATACGCCCAACCTTCTCTTCCGGGCTTTCTCCGCCAGGAAAAGCAGCACCTGGCCGCAAGGTTCGCGGGCCTTAAGGTTAGGGTTTAGGGTTTAGGGTTTAGGGTTTCGGGTTTAGGGTTTCGGGTTTAGGGTTTAAGGTTTAGGGTTGTGGCATTGGTCAGCTGTACGCAGTCGTGCGAAGACCAACATGCCCCCCCCGAGAGCACCCAATCAGGAGCCAGCCGAACCCAAGCCAGCCAAACCAAGTTCCCAATCTCGCACTGGTTTTAGGGTTTAGGGTTTAGGGTTTAGGGTTTAGGGTTTAGGGTTTAGGGTTTAGGGTTTAGGGTTTAGGGTTTAGGGTTTAGGGTTTAGGGTTTAGCGTCCCAAGTGACCAAAAGTGTCCCAAGTAAGGGGACACGTGGAAACGTGGACACTTGGGATGCGTTGGACACTTCGGACGCTTGGGAACTGTTGGGAGACCACAAAAAGGCAAAGGTTTCGCGGGGGGCGGTTTGGCCTTGGGCCGAAGGGCTTTCCTTACTTGGGACACGTCTGGTCAGGACTCTAAGCCCTAAACCCAAAACCCTAAACCCTAAACCCTAAACTCCCTGAACCCTAAACCCTAAACCCCAAACCCTAAACCCTAAACCCCAAACCCTAAACCCTAAACCCTAAACCCTTGGGACACTTGGGACACTTGGGACACATTCGGACACTCGGCACACCCGGCTTGCCAGGAACGCTTGGGTCGCTTGGGTCGCACAACACGACAGGTGGGATGGGGTGTAGGATAGTTTAGAGGTTAGGGTTTAGGGTGTAGGGTTGAGGGGCTAGGGATAAGGGGGTGTAGGGTTTAGGGTTTTTTTGGTTTGGGTTTTGGGTTTTGGCTTTTGGGTTTTGGCTTTTGGGTTTTGGCTTTTGGGTTTTGGGACCTTTGTCAATTGGGGGCTGACGAGAATAGGGAACCCTAAAACAGACGCCCCCCCCCCACCACATAGTAGGATGCCCTTTTACTAAGGACCCCAAGAAGGTACCCCGAATTTCGGAATCCCCCGTATGGAACACTTGGAACACTTGGGGTGCTTGAGTCACTTCGGCCTCCGGGGTGCAGGAGAGGAGCCTTAAGGGTTTAGGGTTTAGGGTTTAGGGTTTAGGGTTTAGGGTATAGGGTTTAGGGTTTAGGGTTTAGGGTTGAGCTTCCATACTTGCATGTTTCACAAATGCCCCTGAGGGTCCATGTACCTGTATAGTAGATACTTGGGCCCTGAAGCTACTGTACAGGAACCCCTTCAGGGCCAATTATATACTCTACAAATGGACCCTTTAGGCACTACTGCTGTGAACCAATGTGAGCCAGAAGGCCTTAAACATTAGACCAGATGAGGCCCCCTACTGGCCCTAATGCAAAGGCCAAACGCTTACAGGGATCATCCCCCTAGAGGTTTAGGGTTTAATTGTCGCACAGCCGTGCTCCTGGCATGCGGAGGGCGGGGGGGGGGCTCTCAGTTTGTTTGTTAAAGGCGTCAGGGGTACGACATCTTCCTGCTCCTATGTAACCGTTCTGGGCATTGCCCTGCATCAAGGAGACTTAGGGTTGAGAGTAAAAATTTTATGGCTAATCCTCAAGAGACCTTCATCATTCCCGAAGGAGTTGCGCTCTCAGTGGGATCTGAGCTATATACTGTATACACCCTTCCATATCCAGGGGTGTGCTTGAAGGTTCATGGGTCGTCAGAAGCAGGGTTTAGAGCCTAGTAACCCTAAACCCTAAACTAAACCCTAAACCCTAAACCCTGAACCCTAAACCCTAAACCCTAAACCCTAAACCCTAAACCCTAAACCCAAATCGTGGAGGGCTGACGGCGGCTCCGCACCAGAGCCTCCAAAGCCCCAAGACCTGCTCGGGTCAGGTGCCGGGATGGCCCTTAGGGTTTAGGGTTTAGGGTTTAGGGTTTAGGGTTTGGGGTTTGGGGTTTGGGGTTTGGGGTTTGGGGTTTGGGGTTTAAGGCTTAGGGTTTCGGGGTTTGGGGTTTAGGTTTTGGGGGTTTAGGTTTGGGGGTTTAGGGTTTGGGGTTTGGGGTTTAGGGTTTAGGGTTTAGGGTTTAAGGTTTAGGGTTTAGGGTCTAGGGCTTCAGTGCTTTAAGGCTTTCCGGGTCTTAGGGCGAGTTTTAGGGCTTTAGGTGTTCGGGCTTTAGCACTGTAAGGTTTTGGGGCTTTAGGGTTTAGGACAACCCCAAGACGCTAAAACCGTAAAACCCTAAACTTTTCGGCTAAACACTTCCTCGCCGCCTTGCCTTGCGGACGGCAGGATGGAGAAGAACGGCCTGCATTTTCGGGCTTAGGTTTTAGGGGGCTTAAGGGGGTTTTGGGGGTTTAAGGGGTCTAGGGGGTCTAGGGGGTTTAGGGGGCTTTAGGGGGGTTAGGGGGTGTTAGGGGGGTTAGGGCCGTTAAGGGGGTTTAGGGCCGTTTAGGGGGTTTGGGGGGCCTAGGGGGTTTTGGGGCCCTGCGTTTTGGGGGTTTCGGGGATGAGCAGGGCCTTTCGGCCTTGAAGGGTTTGTCGTGGGGCGGCCTACGGGCCTTCTTCGGGTTTAGGGCTTCAGGGTCCACGTACCTTATTACTATCATTATTTTTTTTGCTGTTATTACCATTATTATTGTTATTATACCCAAAACCTTAAGAACCCAAACCCTTGAATCCGTAGACCTAAACCCAGCTTCTCGAAGAAACCCGAACACCTGAGACCCCAGCACCTTAAGGCCACGAAGCCCATAGACACCCAGACTCCTCATGCCCGACTAATCCCCTTAAGCCTCAAGCCCCAAACCCGACACCCCAAAAACCCAAAACCCTTGAACCCCAAACCCCAAACCCCTAAACCCCGAAACCCTGAACCCTAAACCCTAAACTCCAAAACCCCTGACCCTGAAACTTCAAAGCCCCAAGCCCCCAAACCGCCTTCTGATGCACCCGGCCTTCACCAACCAGGTTCCGCGCCCGTGGATGGGCCTTGAGCGGGCGTCGGGACTTTCGGGGTTTAAGGGTTTTCAGGTTTGGGGGTTTAGGGTGTAGGGTTTCGGGGTTTCGGGGTTTGGGGGTTTTGGAGTTTTGGGGTTTTGGGGGCCCTAAACCCTAAACCCTAAACCCTAAACTTTGAATGCTTATGGTTTGGGGAGTGGGGGTTGGGCTTGGACTATGGGAGCCCAGGCTTCAAGGTTTGCGGTTTAGTAGGACATGGGGCTTAGGGTTTAGGGTTTAGGGTCTAGGGTTTAGGGTTTAGGGTGTAGGGTTTAGGGTCTCTGCATCTAGCAACAACCATGAGGAGCCGGCAAGTGCGGAGCCACCAGCTCACGCCCGGAGACCTCAAGTGAGCCACGCACTGCTTCCTAAACCCTAAACCCTGAACCCTGAACCCTAAACCTTAAACCTTAAACCCTGAACCCTAAACCCTGGAGCACTCTTTGTTCAACAAGCCCTCATATCAGGGTGCCTACTTGAAGGTTCATGGGTAATTTGGCCAGAAGCGATTTATAAGTCAATAGTTACACTTCTAAGCCTACTTCTTACTACCTGTGAACCTCCAGGTAAACTTTAAAGTCCACAGTGGATGGAGACGGGCAATTCTATAAATTCGGGTACCTTTTGGGGGGTCCTTCTTAATAAGAGTGCCGTGCCGGAATGGATATAGGACCCAAAAAGGGGACCTTAATTCGGAGAAGTACCCATATGAAGTCGGTGTTTGTATTGATTCACCCTAGGCCCTATATGAGCCCGTCAAAACTGAAAAATGAGAACTACTTGAATTTAAGAAGTACAGAAACTATTGTTTTACCCGGTCGAAAGGCTTTTTAGGGAATTTATATCCCGAGTTGTAACCACCACTGAGCCTTCATGCACCCCCCCAAAAAAAAAACTAAGCCCAGGGCCCCAAACCGAACACTCAGCCCTGAACCCGAAACCCTAAGCCCTAAGCCCTAAGCCCTAAACCCTAATCCCTCAACCCTAAACCCTGAACCCTAAGCCCTAAACCCTAAACCCTCTAAGGCTCAGGGTCATGCCTTCAGCCTAGTGGGCCCAAAAACCCGAAAGCCTTCAACCCAAAAGACCCCAAAAAACCAATAGACCCTCCCTAAACCCTAAACCCTAAACCCTAAAAGGTCTCTGACAGCCCCGAAGTCCTACCCCAAACCCTTTAAACCCTCAACCCTTCAAATCCTAAACCCCTAACACTAAACTCAAAACCCCCAAGCCCACCCCAGCCCTAACCCGTAAAGACACCCCTGATAAACCCCTTAAAACCCCAAACCACCAACCCCTGGGACCCTGAACCCTAAACCCTAAAGCCTGAGCCCTGAAAGATCAAAAAGCCCGAGGCCCGTACCATGGCCCCAGGTGTTCACAAGGTCACACCGAAGGGCTCATGCTTGCGTTGGGCTTTGGGCTTTGAGGCAATAAGAGGTAATGGTAGAAAAGCTATGCGATAATGATAGAGCAGCCTTAGATAGTAGCAGTATAGGAAACTAGGCTCCTGGGGTTTGTTAGGGTTTGTTGCGGATTGCTCAAGTGCTGTTGGCGCCTTTAGGGTTGTCGATGTGCTTAGGGCTTGTTCAGAATTGGCGATGGGTTTAAAGTTTTAACTAGGGGCCTAGGTTTTTGGGAGGTTTGAGGGCTTTTTCCAGTTTCGAATCTCAAGCAGCTTATTCGAAGCAGACTTGGCAGCGAGAAACATGCCCGCCGGACAGCGCAGCTCACCGCTGGCTACGAAAGAACATCCACCGGTGCAGCACGTCGATTGGGATGTTCCCCCTTATACTAACAGTCCCAAAACCCCAAAACCGCAAAACTCCAGAACCCCAAAACCCCAAAAAACCAAAAACCCAAAAACCCAAAACCCCAAAACCCCAAAACCCCAAAACCCCAAAACCCCAAAACCCCAGAACCCCAACCCCCACCCCCCCCCACCCCCCCCACCCCCAAAAAAAATAGGGATGATAGCACCCCCTGTTATAATCCTCTCTTCAGGGACTGTTAGTATCAGCGGAGAACATCCCAAGGCGTCGATCCAAAGATCTTTCTTGGGAACTATTTAGGGTTCCTCTGACCTTGGAAGGGAAATGTAGGGTTTCGGGTTTAGGGTTTAGGGTTTAGGCTTTAGGCTTTAGGCTTTAAGGTTTAGGTTTTATCAACTACCATATCAACAAACCAGACAATCAGCACACAATAGCACACAAGCCCCCCTTTCTCGCAACCACGGGCAGAGGTTCCGGTTACATTGAAAGCGCTCTGCACCGGATCAGCGATTTTTGCCCATCACGGGCATCAGCCCATTTGTTTCAAACACTTACCCGCAGTCCATGTTTCACATGCTGCTGGTGATGACACCTTCTTCTTTCACATCATCAATCTTCACATTCAGCTCGTCTTTCGAAATATTCTTCACTGCTGAAGGCTCCTCAGGAATGTCTTCGACCTCCTTCGGCTCGTTGTTGTCCTCGTGTGCCTCCACGTAGAAGATCACCGGCGTTGTGCTGAGCTTCTCCACCCGGCACCTATGCTGAACTTTGAACCCTAGCAAAATGAAAATGTGTTTTGAATGCTTCTTAGGAATTAGAGTACCCAAAAAATGTTTTTTTACTAATAAATAATAGAAAGAAACAACCTTCCCAAGTCTCCCTGAGGCACAGCAAATGGCAGAGGCTTGCTTCCGTGAAGCCGTCAAACTCATCTAGGATTTTCTGGGCAGGGATCCTTGGTGGCGCTGACTTAACCTTTAGGGTTTAGGGTTTAGGGTTTAGGGTTGAGGGTTGAGGGTTGAGGGTTAGGGTTGGAAGAACAGTCCCTCAAAAAAAATCACAAAACTCCAGAGGACTCCACTATCCTAGAAACTCCCACGTTCGGTCCTGAAAATCTCCCTACAGACCCCTAAACCCCAAAACCCCTAAAGTCCTAAAGCCCTAAACCCCGAGAGTCCTAAACCCCCATACCCCAAAAACCCCTCAACCCGAAACCCCAAACCCCTCAACCCGAAACCCCAAAACCCCTCAACCCTAAACCCCAAAACCCCTCAACCATAAACCCCGAACCCCAAACCCCAAACCCCAAACCCTAAACCCCCTAAACCCTAAACCCCAAAACCTCTAGACCCCAAACCCGGAAACCCCTCAACCCGAAAACCCTAAAACCCCTAAACCCTAAACCCCAAAACCCCTCAACCCCACACCCTAAACCCTAAACCCCAAAACCCCTAAACCCTAAACCCCAAAACCCCTCAACCCTAAACCCCAAAACCCCCTAAACCCCAAACCCTAAACCCCCTAAACCCTAAACCCCAAACCCCCAAAACCCCCAAAACCCCCTCAACCCTAAAACCCTCCCTAAACCTCCTAAACCCTAAACCCAAACCTAAACCTCCTAAACCCTAAACCCTAAAACCCTAAACCCTAAACCCCCTAAACCCCAAAACCCCCTAAACCCTAAACCCCCTAAACCCGAAAACCCTAAACCCCAAAACCCCTAAACCCCCTAAAGCCTAAACCCTAAAACCCTCCCTAAACCTACTAAACCCTAAACCTAAACCTAAACCCTAAACCCCCTAAACCCGAAAACCCAAAACCCTAAACCCCCTAAAACCCCCCTAAACCCTAAACCCTAAAACCCTAAACCCCCTAAAACCCTAAACCCGAAAACCCTAAACCCCCTAAACCCTAAAACCCTCCCTAAACCTCCTAAACCCTAAACCCTAAACCCTAAACCCTAAGGCCCCTAAACCCTAAACCCCCCAAACCCTAAACCCTAAACCCCCTAAACCCAAAACCCTAAACCCTAAACCCTAAACCCGAAACCCTAAACCCTAAAACCCAAAACCCTAAAACCCTAAACCCCCAAAACCCTAAACCTCCTAAACCCTAAACCCCCTAAACCCTAAAACCCTAAACCCTAAACCCCCTAAACCCTAACCCCTAAACCCTAAACCCCCAAACCCCCTAAAACCAACCCGAAACCCCCTAAACCCCCTCAACCGGATGCAGGCCAGGGTCAGCGGCGGCAGCGAGGGATCTGATGTCGCGGTCGGCGGCGGCGCCTTGTGTCTGACGCCCTTGTGCCCCGATCTCTTCCGGACCTTCGGGTTTAGGGTTTAGGGTTTGGGGTTTAGGGTTTAGGGTTTAGGGTTTAGGGAGGGTTTAGGGTTTAGGGTTTAGGGTTTAGGTGTAGGGATCAGGGTTTAGGGTGTAGGGTTTAGGGTGTAGGGTTTAGGGTTTAGGGTTTAGGGTTTAGGGTTTAGGGTTTAGGGTTTAGGGTTTAGGGTTTAGGGTGTGGGGCGTGTTTAGGGTTTAGGGTTTAGGGTTTAGCAAAACACCCCTACTTGCGTATGTTCAATAGTCCCCTGCAGAGAGGACGAAGGCCCAGCCTTTGCGCGCTTATTGTGAAGAGAAGTTTGTGGATGCTGTGTGGGTGTCTCATGGATTCAAGGTCACTTTTCGGTTCAGGGTTTAGGGTTTAGGGCTTAGGGTTTGGGCTTCAAGGCTCAGGGCTTGGGATGAAAAAGGCAGGGGGGTTGAAGTGGGCGTGGTGCCGGCGCGCCTGTTCCTGCTGCTTCTTGACCTCCACAACATCAGAGCTCAGAGAGCGGGATAGAGAATTGCTACTCGGTCTGAGGGTTTAAGGTAAGTTAGAAGCAGGAATGCAAATCCCTAAACCCTAAGCCCTAATCCCTAAACCTTAAACCCACTACCACACTCACGACTTGACCTGTGTCTGTCCACGATCAAAGAAGACTGAGAGAGTTTGAGGAATGCGAATATTGGGGCTTGAATCAAAGCTTCGGTTGACGAACCAGGGCGACGTCTTCTGGAGGCTTTGGCTTGGGCTTTTGGGTGTCAACTTCCCCGGCTTCGCTTCCATAAATGCCCCAAGATATGCTGAAAAGGATTTCCAGGAAAACAAACCCTGCCTCGCCCATGTGAAGTAGGGTTTATAATCCTTGCAGCCCCGAAAGGACACCGAGTACCTACGCTCACCAATGCTAACAAGGAACCTTACACTCACCAATAACAGTACTTGGAGGTTCATGGTACGTATTAACCAATTATAACTGCACTTATAACCATATTAGGGCACTTAAGGGGCTGACAAGTTAATAAGTACAGTTATAATTGCGTACTAAGTGCCATGAAAGTCCAAGTGATAAAAGCCCTGTTTCTGTGAGGCCACGACTTTCGGTGCGCGTTCGAGTGTTTGGGCATTCATCGCAGTGCTCAGGGTTTAGGGTTTAGGGTTTCGGGTCTCGGGTTTAGGGTGTAGGGTTTAGGGTTGACAGAAACGTTGGCTTGCCTGACTCACTGGGACACCTTCTAACCCGCCATCCCACAAGATCCATAGCTAACGTAGTTTCTACGTTTTTTCGATGAGTTTCACAAAAAAACTTTCCGAGCGGAAATTCAACATCTGGGAGTTAGAAGCGCGATTATCGCGAGCCATGCGCGACACCTAAGAAGCGTGCGCGGCCACCGATTAGAACTCTGGGTGAGGCACGAAGATGTTTGAGGGCGGCCACTACTTAACAGCAACTTGGGGAGCGTCCCCCCAAAAACTCAGAGGGGTTTAGAGCTGAATGTTGACTTGGCATTGATACCGCCCCCCCACAAGTTTAAAAGAACAATCCGGAACTCAAATGCACACCCCCTCAATTAAAAAGCACATCTCGAGGAACGGGACTTGGCTTCTGGGTTCCCTTTCCAGCCCCCCCCCCACCCCGGGTTTAGGGTTTAGGGTTTAGGGTTTAAGGTTTAGGGTTTGGGGTTTGGGGTTTAGGGTTTAGGGTTTAGGGCCACTGTCGGGGTTAGGGAAACCCTAAACCCTAAACCCTAAACCCTTAGAAGCCAAAGCCGGCTTAAGTTCGGATTTCTGATTAAGCATCCTAGCTATCCGGCAGAGCCTCCGGCAGCAAAACTACATGGTTATATGGAAGTATGACACATGCGGGAACAAACGTGCGTGTGCGTACATATATGCGACTATGTAACAAGCACGAGAATAACACGATGAAGGTCAGGGTATGTAATTCCTCGGCATTTGGGATGCGGACCCGACTAAGATCCCTAAACCCTAAACCCTAAACCCTCAAGTGTTCCATTTTCGCACTGCCTCCTTGATGGCGTCGAGGGCCTCCTCGAGCCAACGGATGAAGCGCTTGCGCCCCGGGTGCTTGAGCTTGAAGTGCATGTACAGGCTCCTGCTGCAAAGCTGTGGGTTTGGGGTTTAGGGTTTAGGAGTGTAGGGTCTAGGGTTTAGGGTTTAAGGTTTAGGGGTTTAGGGTAACCCCCTAAACCTTTAATCAGGTTGAACAAGTCGGATCAGGTTGTGAACAAGTCGGATCGGTGGTCCGTGGGACTTGGCCCAGGTCGTAGATGAAGTTGTAGGTGCAGTGGAGCTTGTCGTACTCATCCTTGCTGGGGGCTTGGCTTTGGCATTGATGTGTTGATGCTGGTCGGGATCTAAGTGGATGGGGGTTTGAGGATTAAGAGTTCGGGTTTAGGGTTTAGGGTTCAGGGATTAGGGTTCTTTTAGGGTTTAGGGTTCCGGGATTAGGGCTTAGGGCCTAGGGTATCTAGGCTCGCAAGGCTTGCGGGTGCCTTGACCGCCACAAAGGCATCCACAACGATGGCCAAGAAGAAGTTCAGGAGCGTGAAGAAGACGATGAGCATGAACGAGGCGGCGTAGAGCCAGTACATGGCCAGCGAGAGACCTGCCAAAAACAAAAAAGCCGCAGGCCCGAAAAAAACCCGAACCCCAAGCTTGGGGGATGTTCCCCCCTGATGCTATGTAAACAGTCCTTCATAGGGAATATACTAGGGGTACTGTAGTCCCTATTAACAAAACTGCTCGTATCAGGGGGAACATCCCAACCCCAAACCCTAAACCCCAAACCCCAAACCCTAAACCCTAAACCCTAAACCCTTAAACCCATGAAAGCCCGGCGCCGCTGCAAAAGAAGAAGCACGACACAAAAAAAAAAAAAAAAGGGAAGCCCTCCTCCGGGCCAGAAAATCCCCGGACCTAGTTTTGGGTTTAGGGTTTAGAGTCTAGGGCTTAGGGTTTAGGGTTTAGGGTTTAGGGTTTAGGGTTTAGGACTAGGACACCGGAAGCCCTCGAGAAAGCCAGCCACCACAAGTCCACAAGGTGGGCCCTACACCAAGCCGAGGTTCTTAACATCTTGCCCGAAGGGTCCATGTACCTAACTAGGGAATACTTGGGCCTAAGCCCTAAACCCTAAACCCTAAACCCTGAACCCTAAACCCTAAACCCTAAACGCTATATAAGGACTTCTTGGCCCAAGTATATAACTATGAGGTACATGGACTCTTAGGGTTGCAGGATAACTCAATTATGCCAGCAGACTATTGCATTAATGCACTTGAATATTTTTCATGTGATGACACTCTTATACGATTATACTCATGTGCAATTATTCTCTTACACGGTTATACGATTCTACGATTATACGATTTTACGATTATACTCTTATCTATTGTAGTATTCTGATATTATACTATTATGCTTGTATACTATTATACTATTGTACCATTATTATACTATTATACTAATATACTATTATACGAGAAATTCTATTATACCATTAAACCATTATACTATCATACTATTATACTAGTATACTATTATACTATTATTCTATTATACCATTGCAACTGGACTGTTATACTGTTATACTATTATACGATTATACTGTTATACATTTTGTACTACTATGCTATTATACTATTATACGGTTTTACTGCTATACTATTATACGATGATACTATTATACAATTATACTACTACACTATTATACTAATATATTATTGTACTATTATACTATTATACTACAATACGATTATACTATGATACTATTATACTTTTATACTACGTATACTATTATCAAACTATACTTTTATACTATTGTACGATTGTACTACTTAACGATCATACGATTATACGATTATGCGAATATACTGCTATGCTAGTATGCGATTATACGATTGTACGACAATAATTGTACAGTGTCATCTTATTACAGTAGTGCACTCTTCTACTCTTACCTTACTATATCATATATGTATAGTATGCCATTACTATATGGAGCAGGGTTTATATTTCTTGTACCCCCAAAAGGACACCAGGTATATACACTCACCAATATTAAAAAGGAACCTTATATACACTCACCAAAAACAAAATAAAAGCCCTGTGTCATATCTATTCCTACATTATGATACTGGACTAGAACCCGCCTTCGGCCCCAAAATCACCTTGGACCCTGCCATAAACCCAACAACAAAAATACCTAAGCCCCCTAAACCCATGAACCTGGTTAAACCCCAAACCCTAGCCCCAAACCCTGAACCCCCCAAACCCTAAACCCTAAACCCGAAACCCTAAACCCTAAATCCCCTAAACCGTCAACCCTCGCTGAAGCCCCTTAGGGTTAAGGGTTTAGGGTTTAGGGTTTAGGGTTTAGGGCTCAGGGTTTGGGTCTGCGGGCTTGAGGCTTCGGGTTTCGGGTTTTGGCCCAGTTTCCTAGGGGAGCCAATAGCCAACCTCGTACTACACTTTGAGGGTTTAGGGTTCAGAGTTTGGGTAGGGCAAAGGGTTTGCATCTAGGAATGCCCCCAAGGCCTAACATCAAGCCCAGCTTTCGGTCAGACGGGCCTGAAAGCTGATCGGCACCGTCAATGTAGATGAACTCGCCGAAGAGCATGCGCACCTCTTGGTCTGGTAGGGCTTAAGGGGCTTAGGGTTTAGGGCTTAGGGTTTGGGGTTCAGGGGGTTACCCTGCGCGTACACCATTAGAGTTTAGGGTTTTGGGTCTAGGGTTTTAGGGTTTTAGGGTTTAGGGTTCAGGGTTTAGGGTTTAGGGTTTAGGGTTTAGGCTTTAGGCTTTAGGGTTTAGGGTTTAGTGTTTAGGGTTTAGGGTTTAGGGTTTAGGGTTTAGGGTTTAGGGTTTAGGGTTTAGGGTTTAGGGTTTAGCCCCCCCCCCCCCCCCCCGCCTTGTTAAGTTCAGCGCTTTCCCGCTGTGCTCACAGGAGCAGGGTGGGCACAAATATGGATGGGTACCATCCCGGTGATAGTTCAGGGTTTGGGACTTACGGTGTAGATTAGGGCTTAGGGAAATGGTTTCGTCCAGGAGTTTTGGGGCTTGGGGTGTTTGGTGATGGTGGGGGAAACGTCTCTGCTGGGGCTTTCTTGGGGCGATATTTGGAGCCATTCTCGAACTTATGGTCCCTATTTAACCCCTAACCCGAAGTACTAATCCCTAAAACCCTAGACCTCATCTCTAAAACCCTAAACCCTAAGCCCAACTTCCTTAGCCCAAACGTCCCCAACACGAAACCCAACCCCCCCGAACCCCAAAACCTCAGGCCTCAAATGCCCCTCAAAGCCCTAAATACAGTTATGAATGGTTCAATAAGTACCGTGAACCTCCACGTAGGGCCTCTGAACCCTAAACCCTAAACCCTAAACCCTAAACCCTAAACACCGGAAAATCGGAAGGCCTCTGGGGCCTCTGGGGCCCCCCACCTGCGTCTCGCAAGACATCCCGAAGCTGCTGAAGAGCTGAATCTGCCCGCCGAGCCTTCTCAAGTAGGGTTTAGGGTTTGGGGTTTAGGGTTTAGGGCTTGGGGTTTAGGGTTTAGGGTTTAGGGTTCGGGGTTTAGGGTTTAGGGTTTAGGGTTGAGGGTTGAGGGTTTAGGGTTTAGGGTGGAGGGTCTACGGTTTAAGGTTTAGGGTTTAGGGTGTAGGGTTTAGGGTTTAGGGTTTAGGGTTTAGGGTTTAGGGCTTAGGGTGTAGGGTGTGGGGTGTAGGGTTTAGGGTTTTGGGTTTAGGTTTTGCTTTGAAGGGCTTTGGCTTTGTGGGGTCTGGGGCTATCGGCTCAGGGCTCAGGGCTCAGGGCTCAGGGCTTCGGGCTTGGGGTTTTGGGCGCTGGGCTCAGGGCTCAGGGCTTTAGGGTTTATTTAGGCCTTTAAGGGCTTGGGCTTTGAAGCGGACGGCTTCTTAGGGTTTCGGATTTTAGGGTTGGGCCTTTGCCTTTGAGGCTCCTTTTTGTTTTGCATTTTGGGGTGTTTGTTTGGCTTTTGGGGCTTCGAAAGTTCGTAGGGAGGCCAACCAAGGAGCAGGAAGTGGGCCATGAAGGCCAGCATCAGGAACAAGATCGTGAACACGAGGAAGAAGTGCAGCATATTGAGCAGGGCACCTCATCTCCCAGATTTCGGGGTGTTGAAAAAAAGTTCCTGTCATAATGCAGAGCTTTAGGCCTTAGGGTTTAGGGCACCAGTTGGGGAACTGTAGTTCTAGCTGGCTGTTAACCTGATTTAGGGCACTTACAACTTATGACCTTAGTTTCTTCTAACTACCCACGAACATTCAAGTAGCCCAATTCAGGGTTGACGGTTGAGGGCCGTTCAAGGGCTGAGGGTTTGAGGTTGGCGCCCAAGAGGCCCAACAACCCTGGAACCCTAAACCCCAAACCCGCCTAAACCTCAAACCCTAAACTCTAAGAACATGAATCCCGCATTGCTGAGAGTTTCGGGTTTAGGGGTTAGGGTTTAACCTCTAAACCGGCCTAGACCCTGAACCCTAAACCATGTACCTGGTTCTTCATCTGGAAAATTTTAACCTTACTCGAATCGGTGAAATGGTTGGAATAAGTGACATGTTGACATGTATATACGTAAATGTCAATATTCAAGCAATGGAATTACAAGCAACAGCGAATGAGATTTTGGATGGTTTTAAACTCACTAGAGATTGTTCACTAAGTGCACAGCAAGTTGGTGCACGTTTTGATTCCATGGCCAATGCAGTTGATATGTTCTGAATGGGATATCAACTCTAGGACTAGAATTTGCACAAGTAAACCAAACCCAAAACCCTAGGCCCCCAACCCAAACAGGCCCCTGCCCCCAGATCAACAACTTTCTAGTCTCAATCAGGGAACTAGGGCAACAGGTGGCATCCCTGCATATATATATATATACATACATACATACATAAAAGATATATGTATATACATGTATATATATGTATGCATGACCCATTGAGGGATATGCAGGGACCCTAATTTCCACATTTCCTTTTCCGAACTAACAAGTAAACCAAAACCCCTACACCTCTAAACTTCTAAAACTACACCCAAAACCCCTGAGCCCCTAAAGCTCTTAACCTCCCAACCCTAACCCTTAAACCCCGAAACCCTAAGCTCTTGAACCACTACCGCCCCCCCCCCCCCCCCCAACCAACCAAAACAAAAAAAGAAAGCCTCAAAAACCCTAAACCCTACACCCTAAACCCTACACAGGACCCTCCCGAGCGCGCCTTTCACTGTCTTGGTCAGCATGGCGACGCCTCGCTGGCAGCGTGAGTCTTCGGGGTTGCCAAAGCAGGTGACCTAAAGGCCCTCCAAACCCAAAACCCTAAGCCCTAAACCCAAAGCCTAAACCCCAAACCCTCAACCCAAAACCCTAAGCCCCTAAACCCTAACCCTCAACCCTAAAGATATCCTAGGCGCGAGGGTGCGCGTTGAAGTACAGGACCATCTGCAAGAACTGGAAGTACATGAGCACGTAGGAGGCCACGCGGTGCCTCTCCAGCCAGCCCACTTCGTCATGGATGACCGTCTTCACCTGGTGTGTAGGGTTTGAGGGTTTGGGGTTTGGGGCTTAGGGTTGAGGGTTGAGGGTTTAGGATTTAGGGTTGAGGCTTTAGGGTTTAGGGTTTCGGGTTTGGGGAGTTTGGGGTTCAGGGTTCAGGGAGGGTTGGGCATGATCCTCTGCTGTAGCGGACGGGGGTCAGAAGGTTACTGCGACCATAGGCGCATGAAGGGATTTGGGAACCCTTGCACTCTCAAAGCCTTGAACCCTTGAACCCTTAGCCCCGAAGTCTTAAACCCTAAACCCTTAGACCCTTGAACCCTTAACCCGAAACTCTTCATCTCTAAACCCTGCGCCTTGAAGACCCTAAACCCTAAACCCTAAACCCTAAGCCCTCCGCCTTGAAGTACTCCTGCATGTTGTGGTTCATGTGCGCTTCATCCACGCCATCGGAGCCGATGAACGTCTCCAACCTGAGGTTGGCCGCTGGAAGCCCCCTCAACCCTAAACCCTAAACCCTAAACCCTAAACCCTAAACCTACTTGAAGGATCAGGGGACTTCAGTGTGGTTGTAAGTAAGGAAACTATACTTATAGTTGCTTATAAGCTCAATTCAGGTACTTATAACCCTACTTACCGAAGACGTGCCCTTGGCGGTTTAGGGTTTAGGGTTTGGGGTTTAGGGTTTAGGGTTTGGGGTTTAGGGTTTGGGGTTTGGGGTTTGGGGTTTGGGGTTTGGGGTTTGGGGATTTGGGATTTGGGGTTTGGGGTTTGAGGTTTGGGGTTTGGGGTTTGGGGTTTGGGGTTTGGGGTTTTGGGGTTTGGGGTTTGGGGTTTGGGGTTTGGGGTTTGGGGTTTTGGGGTTTTGGGGTTTGGGGTTTGGGGTTTGGGTTTTGGGGTTTGGGGTTGGGGTTTGGGGTTAATACAATCCTCTTCAACCCAATTACAGGCAAACATAAAATATCCCAAGAACTTACCCAGACCCTCAACCCTACACCCTAAACCCTAAACCCTAAACCCCAAACCTGAACCCAGCAACAAGAGGTCGAACTCGTGAGACATCAGCAGCTGCTGACTCCAGGAGATCAAGAGGATCGTCGGGTACACGAGCAGCAGGATGCGCGAGAAGATCTCGTAGCCTCTTTTTTTAAATTAGGGTTTAGGGTTTAGGTTTAGGGTTTAGGGTTTAGGGTTTTGGGTTTAGGGTTTAGGGTTTAGGGTGAAGGGGGCTGAAGGGGTTTAGGGCTTAGGGCCTAAGGGCTGTAAATTTGAAGTCTTAGTGTGCTCCCTTAAGATCAACCCTGCTCCCTAAACCCTAAACCCTAATCCTAAACCCTAAACCCTAAACCCTAAACCCTAAACCCTAAACCCTAACCCTAATCCTAAACCCTAAACCCTGAACCCTAATTCTAAACCCTAATTCCCTAAACCCTAAATCCTAAACCCTAACTCTAAACCCTAATTCCCTCCAAGCAGCAAGTCAACCCCCAGTTGCACTGCTCGCGGTGCCGCAAAAGGTGCACCGTAAGAGCCGTGGCGCTGAGGCCGGCTCCGATGCCTCGTTTTGTTTAGGAGTTTAGGGTTTGGGGTTTAGGGTTTGGGGTTTAGGATTTAGGGTCTAGGGTTTAGGGTTTAGGGTTTAGGGCTCAGGGCTTAGGGTTTAGGGTTAGGGATTCGGACGTTTGGGGTTGTAAGGGTCTCCTGTTTGCGGACCGAGGGCTAAGGGCCTTTGAGTTGAGGGTTTAGGTTTAGGGTTTAGGGTTTAGGGTTTAGGGTTTAGGGTTGAGGGGGTGTAGGATTTGGGTTCTGGGTGGGACCCGGGATCGGGCAAACGAAAAGCCTGCTGCTGGCTTGTTGACCTCAACCTGGGATGTTCCCCCTGATACTAAATGGGGTTTAGGGTTTAGGGTTCAGGGTTCAGGGTTTAGGGTGAAGGGTAAAGGGTAACAGCTCCTTACCACGGATTATAGTACACCCCCTGTTCGAATCCTACTAAGGACTGCTAATAGAAGGGGGAACATCCCAGACCTAAACTGCAAACCAGAGATGCAGGTGGTGAGCAGGCAGGCCACAAAGTTCTGGGCGGAGCTGAGGATCACGTCCTCTTTGTGGAATCTGGATAAGGGTTTAAGGGTTAAGGGTTTAGGGTTTAGGGTTTAGGGTTTAGGGTTTACTGTTTGGGGTCTAGGGTTTAGGGTTTAGGGTCTGTGTTTTTTGGGCGGGAGTGGCAGAGTTCATAGTGTTAGGGCGCATGCTTGAGCACCCAAAGCCCTATGGGTGCGGGGGCCTTAGGGTTCCACTAGGGGACATAATGTCCTTGTATTGGGGCACTTGAGGGGCTTATAAGTGAGTTAAGTACAGCTATAATTGGTTCATAAGTACCATGAACCTTCAAGCAGGGGCACATGTCCTTGTAGGTGACCATGGACACAGACCCGTCCACGTTCCCGGCATAGTCGAAGTCAAAGGTCACTGTCAGGGACGTGAACATTTCCAGGTCCTCCATGATGGGATTCGGGGGGCTTGGGATCGAAGCCCTAAACCCTAAACCCTAAACCCTGGGTGCACTCCAGGGCTGAACGTGACTCTCCGCGGCTCTTCTTGTACTAGCTCGAAACTGCCACTTCTCACAACCCTAAACCCTCAGACACGCTAAGATGCTCGAACCCGAAAGCCCACCAGGCTGCGACCTCTCAATTTGATTGCATATCTTTGGACGTTCCTCCTTATACTACCAGTCCTTAATAGGAAGTATACAAGGGGGTATTGTCATCCCTATTAAGGACTGTTAGTTTTCAGGGGGAACATCCCATTGCATAGTCCCCACCCCCGCTGCATCCTCCGTGTAGATCACCGTGCTGACGGTGATCGACTCGGTCTGCGAGTCGATCCAACCAACCTCCTGTTATGGGTTTAGGGTTTAGGGTATAGGGTTTAGGGTTTAGGGTTTAGGGTTTAGGGTTTAGGGTTGAGCGTTCTTAAGGGAGGGGGGTTCAAGGGGGGCATGTAACCTAAGGTTCCCGAATACCCCTACTACTCCCTAAGCTTCTTCCCCCCCCTAAGAACCCTAAACCCTAAACCCTAAGCCCTAAACCCTAAACCCTAAACCCTAAACCCTAATCCTGCATGGCAGCGAGGTCCCGCTTGCTTTCGATCAGCATCTTGGCATACACCGCCTGTTTAGGGCTCAAGAAGCACTTGCAGTTCTGGCTGGAAGAAGGGTTTAGGGTTTAGGGTTTAGGGTTTGGGGTTTAGGGTTTAGGGTTTAGGGTTTAGGGTTTAGGG